CTCAGGTACATACTCGTTTTTAAGCTAACTACTGTCATCAGAACTGTTAAATATAACAGAAAATGCTCCTTTGCAATAAATCTGACACCCACATGCTGGACCATCACAGGGTTTTTCCAGCAGAGGGAAATTTTAGACACCCCTACATAGTAATTGAGTCCATGGACTGTACAATAGTACATGGTTGCTGGTCATAGCGTAACATTTTGTTTTTTTTTTTAATTTAGATTTTTAACATGGGGCTGCACAGTGACGCGATTGTTAGCACCAATGCTTCACAGTGTGTGGAGTTTTCATGTTTTCCCTGTGCAGCGTGGGTTCTCACCAGGTTCTCCGGCTTCCTCTCATAGTCCAAAAACATGCCGAGGTTAACTGGTGATTCTACATTGTCCGTAGGTGTGAATGTGAGTGTGCTTGGCGACCTGTCCAGGTGTCCCCTGCCTTCACCCTGAGTCAGCTGGGATAGGCTCCAGCCCCCGCGACCCTAGTGAGGATTAAGTGGTGTAATAGAGAATTGATGGATATTTTAAACATCAATATTCACCCCCTAAAACCTCTTCTGATGCCACGAAACACCTTGCATCATGTAAGTGTAACAATAAGCAACTGTGAACTACTGCTTCATCATTATCTGTTTTTATTAGGGGTGGGACTTTAACGCGTTAATTACGATTAATTAATTACAACAAAAGTAACATGTTAAAAAAAATTTGTCGCTATCCAGGACTCCTAGCGCTAACAGCTCCGGCGGTTTCTGTGCTCGCTACAACATGCTTTGCATTCAGGTGGTACCGTAAGCTTGATGTGCTTCGGTGGTATCCAAATTCTTTTTTATACAAGTTGAACAAAACCACGCTCTTTTCAAGGTTTCCAGCAGTTTTTTAAAAATGAAACTTACCCTCCATCAGTCCAAGCATTGCACTCTTATTGGATACCTCCATGTTTGTTGTTGTTAGCATAGCGCTGAAGCATCTTGTGCATCAGTGTGATCGGTGGACCATAAAATTGGGCACTGACAAACGTTCTGTGTTGCCTGGACGCAAACTGCGATTAAATGCATTAATTTTTTGAAAGCGTAATTTTTGTTGTAGTTAATTAATCGTAATTAATGCCTTAAAATATATTAGGGGTGGGACTTTAACACGTTATTTTAAAGTCCTACCCCTAGTTTTTATATCTAGTAACAGTGACACATTAGTGTTATCATGAGGTGTATCTGGAAAAAAGTTTCCCCCACTTGCATCCAGCACACAGTGAAAACGTAAATGTCTCACTCTTATATGCCATCAGTGCATGTGGACCTATGAACATTTTTAGAATAAAACAGAATAATAATGATTTTGACATTTTGAGATCGGAACATTGTTGACAGATAGTTGGAGGGCGTTGACTGCTTAATTGGATGAAGTTAATTATTCAAACACTGTGTAATATAGCCTCGGGTTGTTTTCCCCTTCTGGTAGTGAGAGTAATTACACAAACACTGTTAAAATGCTGCTTATGCATGACTTTGTCATCTTTTTGAGACTGTAGTCCTTCTTCTGAATGCAGTTTATTTTTTAGCAGGGTCCTTTTTTTTTACTCTTATGTGCTCGAGCCTTCTCTGTTTCCATCGCTGTGGTTATCCCCCTATTTAGTTCTTGCAAAGCAATCATTGTTGGTTTACACAAAATGCATTGTTACGGAAAGCTGATTTAAATTTCTAAAATACTGCAAAATACAGAGAGAATTAACTGGCGGTGATGGGCTTAATCAGCATTGTATAAACATGTTTGATAAGAGCTTAAATGTAACGGGCCTTCATTTATATCTACATTTCCCGTATTCAAGCTTTAAGGGTCACTAAGGTTAAGACTTTTGACCTCTTGGTGCCAAATCTGTTTCTGAAACATCACCTTGTCTCTTTTAGCCCTTTTCTAGGCACTCTTATATTTCTGTCTGACACTTTTCCATCTTTGAAACTGGCACACACAGTGTGTCAGACTATTTTAATGGTCATGGAAATTTGTGTTAATCATGGAATGACTGGATATAGAAAAGGACTTTTGTGTAAGCAAGAAGCCGGAGTTACGGTTCATTTCTTTTAGGCTGTCCTCATTCAACTCTCAAGGAGCACTTATCCACAGCTTGGCCCAGGTTAAATTTTGGGGCTTTTATAGCTGCACCATTCACATGTTACAGCAAACCAACTCTTCTAAACCCACTGTCTGCCCCTTGTTTAGAACCAGACAGCAAACAGATAAAGTTATAAAGTAGCTTGTGGGCATAGGGAAGTGTTCAGCAACACAAAGAGCCAGATACTTCCCTCAACAAATGATTTAGATCAAACACAATGAGAGGAACCAGTGTTGGAGAGTGAATATTTAGCTGACATTTCCCAGGCTGCCAGAAACTTAAATGTATGATTACAGCTCTCTATAACTGCTTCATATGCAAATATGCAACTGCTTACTAAGATGCTCAGCACAACAACTTAATATGGCAACAACATTCAACCAACAAATTATGATATTATGATAATTTGATAAAGTATATTAAAAATATAAACCTAAATTCCAGTGGATCATCCCAGGTGAGCTCCACAGAGGAATTTGCCCAAACAACAATAAATTCCCTCTCTGCAAACAGCCATTTCACAGCCTGCACACAGCTGATTAGACAGAAACACTGAAGCAAAAAGAGAGCCTGCACACTTTCTGCACACAGTGTAGTGAACACAAAAAAACCACTAAGTTGCTAGGCAGCATGGTGGTTGTTGACGTTCTCCTCTGTTGAACGTCATTCTGAAAATCTTGGCTCTGTAAAGATCTCCACAATCTGCCCTAGATTCATCTTCTTTGTTTGTTCAGTCTCAGTGCAAAATGTAACAAGCTCATTCAGTCTCTCTGTCTTATTGCACTCCTCACTCAAAGTTTTCACACGCTGAGCCGAATGAACGATCTGCAGTCACAGCAGGGATTAGTCGCAACATCAGAAAAGTAGTCTACACCTCAGTGAAGTTTATAAAGGAGCATAGACGTTTGGGCTGCAAAGTCCACTGGGAAAATTTTCCGCATTTAACCAGACCCATCTGTTGGTCACGCAATATTGTCGGTGGGCTTGATTTGGGTCACTTAGCATGCACGCCAAGTGATGCATTAAATCTATGATTAATTTAGGTGGATGCAACTTTTTTTTAACAGACACACTACTAATCTTATAGTCCCATAAGGACGCCGTCTTTAATTCAATTCAAGAATTCAGTATTTGTTCTACTCTATTGGTGTGGTAGCTCCAGATTGCATCCCTGTCATTCAGAATATTCAATGTACAAGTGAGTACCCCTGACTGTTGGTCTGATGTGCATAATTCCAATGTTCCATGTTAAGTAGCTGTAGATGAAGGAGAAGGTCAAGGTTCATGCATCTTCAAAGGGGATCAGAAATAGTTAAGTCCATTTTGGAAAGGTCCGTCTGTTACTGTCTTTCTCATGCACACACATAAACAAGCAGTTTTATCCTTGCATGCAGAAAGCCAAAATACAACAAACACACTGGTAAACACTCAGCTTTAAATAGTTTTATACTAAATCAAAGTAGACATTACTGAGGAAAAACGGGTAACCAAAGTTTATAGGAAAAGAGAGGAAAAATGGAAAGGAGGGGTCAGGAGGACAGGAAAGAAGGGAATCAAATAAAGAGGAAAGAGAGTACAAAGCCTGCTTTGAGGCAAAATGTCCTGGTTTGACTTCTTTTCAGCCCAAGTACACATCACAAGGGCTTCTCTATTCCAGGGCACCATATTACTTTACACCGTATGGCAGGTTAGCTCATAGCAAGGTGTGGCACTGTGGTGCATGGATACATGGAAAAATTGTGTTCTTGCAGTAAGCCTTTAGTGTTTATTTCAGTGTTTATCCACTATTGCTACTGTAGGCAGCCACCTGTTTGTGGATTTGTACTCTTGGTGCTGTGACAGTTTGAGAACTAAAACACTCAAATAACAACTTCGGAAGATGGCAGTTAACGTTCATCAGACTAAGTGCTAGGAGAGACGCACTTTATTGTGATAATGAATATGATGGTAATGCAAGAACACAGGCAGCTATCTCATAGTGTTTATAGGGATAAGACAAAATTTTTGTCAATACTAATATCCATACTCTTCCCTTATTGCCTTATCTCAACCCTAATATAACTGGATTAAAATGTGTAACTAACTACATAATTTAAAACATCATTGAAGTGGCCTTGTTGAATTAATAAGCACATTATTAATAGTAGATAATTGGCCACAAGGAAAAGGTTAACTTAAAATAGGGTAAAATAAAATGTAAACAAACAAATGATGATCAAATAATGATCACATACAAGGGTTTGCGTTGCAGACCACGCCAATGATCACAGTCTAAAGTCTTCAAAATAAATGAAATGTATTTTTTTTATAACTGGCAAATGTTTTTTTAAGCATCTCATTTATTAAACTGTTTATTGCCCGACTGGAAAATAGTGTGCAGTTTTACAGTTTGCAAGATCCAAAAAACACACACAGGGACATTCAAAGTATTCATATGATATGTAGTTATTATAGTAGGGCTTCAGATTTGCCAGAAATTGAAAACACTAGCAGGTAGACTTCTATTGGAGTTTAATGTCAGTTTGCCATGTTGCTGTACATACAAACAGCAAAGCTGCTATATTTATGAGTTTAAGTAAATTCCCCACTCTGTTGTTTGGTAAAGAGAGATTGGATTCCATACCTAGTGTAGTTGTACTTTTGCTGTAGGTTTCATTGTTAATGGCCAGGCAAACCTAAAGCCAGTAATGTTTGAGTTAAGTGTTTTCAAAGCTGTTTTGTCATTGCTTAGGCTTAAATGAATGTGCTTGTATTCACATGAGCACGTAGCACTCACATTTGTGCAGTTAGGGTAACTGAAGATTGGCCAGCGAAATGCAATTATGTATGCAATTACAAAATGAGTCATTACAGCAGTTCTTATCACTTTCTCACTATCTTTGCAGGTCCCTGAGATTATCAGCACATTGAGGCAGGCTGGCAAAAGCTCAGCACGCAGCAATGACATCACCGCTGTTTCCACCAAGACTTCCACAGGTCCTGGAAGCAGTGACTCCTCTCAAACATGTATTTCCTCCCACTCCACTATGTTGAGCTCAACGGCACCCGTTGCTGCTGTGTCACCAACGACCTTCGCAAAAAAATTCGAGGTACTGTTTTGCGGCCGTGTGAGTGTTGCTCACAAAAAAGCCCCACCTGCCCTAATTGACGAGTGCATCGAGAAGTTTAGCCAGCTCCATGGCTCAGGGACTACTGATAAAGGAGGAAATAGCGGGGGATTGGTAGGCGGCCTGAAGAGGGCATTAACCTTCCAATCCAATGGACTGGGAAGTGGTGCTGTTGGTAATGGTGCTGTAGGGAGCCCCACCACTGGAAAGCGCCCTGTTCTGTTCAAGCGAGACCCCAGCTTTCCTTGCCTGCAGGCCCTGGATGAGAACGGTCTTTCACCAGAGATTTCTAACACCAACACTACTGATCCACTCGCCGGATCTGCTGAGGTACAACCAACCAGCCTGCAGGAGAACAGGACCATGCTGTTTACGGTAATTTTTTACAAGGTGGCACACACAAAACTGACAATATACCCTGATTAGTTGGCTGATATTTCAGTGTCTGTATTTATTTACCACTAATGCCATATGCAGATTTTAAAGTTATACTGTACTAAAAGTGGAATCATAGAGCTGGGTGATAACTTGAGACATCAGTAATTTTATGAGTTGCTCAGTGGGATTTTAATTAATGTATTAATTACAATTATTGTTATTCACTGTGCATAGACCATGCAAATACCAGATGAAACACTCACTGACCAAATCAACCTCTCACTGAACTCAGAACTGAAGTCTCCCATAGAAAACTTTGTTCTTCAGAAAACTTTATTCTCCAATCGTTCTCCTTTTGTCCTCATCTCTGCGCATTGTGTGTGAAATAGAGTTCAGAACTTTTGTTTTGACATTTTCAACTTGCATTGGACAAGTCTTTGCATTGACTTGCACCATTCTGGATGTATTTTTCTCTAGTTATGTCTTATTTTTACTTTACTGACTTTATATGCAATTGTATTGCCTCTAACGTTCACCTCACTTTTTTTCTGCACACATAGTAAAATTTCAGAAAGAATATCTCTGCCAGTGGGACAGCAGTCTTACATATGCATGACATTTCAGGATCATCTTGGTCTAAATTTAACTGTGTAAATGACAGCATTATTCTTGTTGAAATATTTATATCTTGCAGGGGATAGTGAAAATAACTTAGCATTTCTGGCATTCTAACCACACTAAAAATGCCATATTTAAGTTCAAATCATGCCTACATCATCTTTACGCCATTCATTTATCACCTACTGTATTAGCATTGCTCAAGGATGAACCATTGAACCACCAGGATGAAATTCCTTCAATCTACAACAATATTATAAAGTGCATGTATTTCAGATGAACAAACATCAGTGTATGTTCCTGTACCTCACACTCAGCGGTTCTGTTAGGCTTCTCTGTTGAGAATATGAAGGAAATGTGTAGAGGAGTAAAGTGCAGTTTTGGATTCCCTGAATAACAACTCCTGATACACAGTTGCTCGTGAAGGACAAAGAGGGAGAGAATAAAAAAACAGACAAAAATCTAACTCAGCAAGAGCAAAATGCTGACTGCTGCCTAAAATGAGCCTAGTCACGCTCTTCTAATTGACCTCTACTTGACCTCAGCGCCCTCCTGCCAACAGGAATTTTCCTGTTTGTACTCCAGACAGGAAATAGTCATCAATAGCATAGGATTCACCAGGGTCTGTTACTGCACCCCTCAGCAGATACAGACATATTAGTGACACTAATAATACATTCTGCTGCCAGAGTGACCTCATCCTGGTGACATCATCACCTTTTTTGCCTCAGTTTTCAAGACAGAAATACCTCTTTTCCTTTGGAAAGATTTTAATTATGTGATTAATATTTGATACAGAAGGAGAATAAAGGAGAACTTGTAAAGGAGAACAGCTGTGCTCACAGAGCTTGAAGACTTAGATGTAATACTGTACCTCTGATTAATGGAGATGAGCTCGCTTGCTTATAATGAACCCCAGATTCCCTTCTTTTGGTTTTGGAGTTATTCTGACTCATGTCCTAATGATGGTGTGAATTGGGATATCCCCTGAAGCGGAACTGTCCTAAAATTAATTGGTGCTTCATGAGAAAAGAAGAAATGAAACCGTCTCAGCTGACGAATTTGAAAAAAGAACTGAAAAGATTATTTTTGGGCTTTCCTTTAAATCTTGTAATTATCAATCAAGCCTCATATAGAGTATTATTGTATCTGCATAGGAGACAAATTGTCATAGAACCTATTGTATGTAGCTTGGTTTTTGAGATTTTTTGTGAGATTGATAACTAATTATTAAATAATGATCAACATTAATGAAGTTATTGCAATAATTGATTAGTACACTTGAGTAAGGTTTTTTTTTTTTGGACAACAAAACCAAAATTCTCTGATTCCAGCTTATATTTTCATATTTTATGGACCAAACAACTACTTGATTAAAAATAACCATTAAGTCCTAGTTGCAGTCACAGCCACACCACAACTGTCACCACACAAACAGAATCACATACCACTGAGTGAAAGGCTGTGAACACACACAACCACATAAACATGGCCACATACAGCCTAACTGTATTTTCTTTGTGTTTCAGGTGGGCAGGTCTCAGATCTTCTTGGTTAGTCCTGACACTAAGAAAGTTGCCATAGAGAAGAGTTTCAGAGAAATATCCTTCTGCTCACAGGTCTGAAGCACTGGATATCAATACATGAGTGTCTGTATAAAATGTGGCTGCAATTTTAAGACCTGTTGTTCATCTCTTCCCAGGGTATTCGTCATGTGGATCACTTTGGCTTCATTTGCAGGGAGACTGTGGAGGGAGGAAGCTGTCACTTTGTGTGCTATGTCTTCCAGTGTACGGATGAATCACTGGTGAGATTGTTTTCATATGGATTCTTGCTTTTTTGCTGCCTCACACAGTTAATTTACTAGTCCCTATATAATGAACACAAGAGAGCTTACTCAGTAGAGAGCATATTTTGTACAGTTGCTTGTCATTTTGCATCATTACTATCAGCTTTTGAGTTGCACAAAATAATTTTCACATCTATGAAATGTTTGTTAGCTGTATATGATGGGGAACAATTAAGAACACAGCCTTGATCAATTTCATTCATGAAATGTTGCAGCATTTACATTACATTTATGTATACAGATACAACCTTTGTGGATTGTAAATGTGAGTACAATGCACAGTTGAGTACAATGTGTATTTCCAGTAATTCATTTCCTTATACTTCCATATCAGTGCTTCCCACTCCATGTTCATATTTGTTTAGCTTACTCAGTTTTATAAGGAGCTGTTTTTTATCAGTGAGGATTAAATGCAGCTCCAACTCATAGGATTTATGACGCAGTGCATCTGTGCTCCACTGAGTCATGCTGGCCAAATGAACTCCGTTTGATAAAAACCTTGCTCACCTACTGTTCTGCTTAATAGCTAAATGTGCAGTGTGATTAGCTTATACAATGCTTCCTGATAAAATGAGGCCAATTAAACATAATTCTAAGTCTTCCAAGGGAAATTTTTTTTATATTATTCTAGTTGTTGCGTATTGTCTATTGTTTTTTCTATTTCTACTTTGTGGCATGCAAGATTTTTTGCCCTGTTTTAATGTCTTCAAAGATTTTCTTTCTACATGCTTTAAACTTTCGTGGAATTGTTAGAAAACAGAATTCTGTGTGTAGCAACAAACTGCTTCCTAAGTTGCTTATTATTATTATTATTATTATTATTATTATTATTATTATTATTATTATTATATTGACTTAATATTACAATGTTATTAATACTATCATAGTGTATAACAATATTGCTGCCATTTGAAGTGAAATGCAGCCTTGAAAAAAGATAATGTAATAAGTGTTAGTGGAATCACATTGGTCGTCCCTCTGAACACCAACCAATTTCTGGGCTTCTGTCACATTTTTTCTTACAGTGGGCTATTTTTTTCTGGCTATATAAAGTCCTGTACCTCTATGTAAACAGCAAAACCATGGCTAGAAGTAGAGAGAATTTAAAAATGTCATTTTTCCATTTAACGCAGCTTTATAACCATATGTCTTAAAAAAAAATCTAAGTTGTATTTATTTTACAAAAATGGAAAGAAAAAACAAACTCCGAATCATTATTGACAATATTCATCCGCGTGCTCCCAGGTGTCACCAGTACTGGAAACAATAATGTGGCTCTACATGCTATTGATATTTTGTTTACTATTTACATTTTTAATTCAATTTCACACTTGTCTCCTCTCTGCTCTGTAAACACAGTGTGTCAGTCAGCCAAACAGCAGGTAGCAGAATTTTTAGTTTTTTACAGAATCTTTTTAGTGCAAACAGTTTATATATAAGAAAGTGTTTTACTTTGCTGTTTTAGGTAGACGAGATTATGCTGACTCTGAAGCAAGCGTTCTCTGTGGCAGCCCTGCAGCAGAATGCAAAGACCCAGAGCCAGCAGTGTGACAGCTGCCCCATGCAGCAGCTCCACAGACTGTGTGAAAGGATAGAAGGTAGGAAACTGTCCTTGAACTTCTTCATTATACAAAATAGTAGAACTGTCAAACACAAATACTTGTTAAGATTTACACTGTGAGCATCGTTGGATCGGTTACATTTATACATTGTGCAGCTCTAGGCACCTATAGGAGACCACATTTTTTGTTCTTTCTGTTAAGTCAGTTTACATTTAACACTTTAAATCCAGTGAAGAAGTTAACAATTTTTAACCAGTGTCAATATTTAATGCATGTATCAAATATGTTCTGTAAATTTACAGGCTCACACTATATATATCATAATGACCAGGCATAAGCATCTGCTTTTGTAACTAAAGCTCAGGTTAAATTTTGTCTTATTTAATGATAACAAATCATTTATACTTTATAGATAACATCTTTCTAAATGTATAATTGCATAGCAGATTTTATGATGACAAATCAGGTGCCCAAGAAACCAACGTACTAGAATCCTATAAGCAGCTACCATATGGCAAACAATTCTGAAGTAAGACGTGGCTTTTCTGTGTGTGTTTTTATTCTTCATTTGTATTATTTTCAGGTCTACACCCATCAAAGACCAAACTGGAGCTTCAGAGATACTTGGCTACTTTGGACAATCAGGAGCAAGCTTCCATCTTTGAAAACACTATGGTAATAAGTCTGTTCTGACTGTGGACCTGAAGGACAAGATGTGAATTCCTGAGTTCCCCTAAAGGGGGACGACACCTAGAAAACTATCCAGTCAGTCAACAATGTCATCTAAGTCTGTCATGACTGAATCACTGTGGAATCACAAGTTTTTCATGTGGGAGTTACAGTGACGCACTCAGTCTTCTTTACACATGATATTTATAAATATTTCTGTCACCTCATTTATCCGTACTGTAAGTTTGACTCTTTTTCACTCTTCAGCTTCCTTAATGTTCTGTCTCTTTTCCCTAAAACACTGGTGAAAATGTTCCGTTAAGCACTTCTATTTAACCATTGGCAACTGATATATTTAGTCAGGATTTACTGATGACATTTCTGGTATATAAATAACAGGCGTGTTAAAAGAGTCTGAAGAAGCAGAATGTGGTTGTATATCTCCCTACGACCCTGCTGACATCTGCTGGTAGTTTAATTAAACTGCAACACCTCAAAAGTGCCGAATGCATCCATGTGAGTGTACTGTAGGAGTTTACGTTTCAGGTAGCTGATTTTAGCTTAGCGTCCTGTACATAGCAGCATATTGTATCAATATACTGTTATAATGTAACTATTATCAGGTCAAAAAGCTTTATTTATAATGCCATTTGAAATGTTTCAAAGTTGTAACCTTGCTATTTTAAATGCTATGAAATAACACGTTGTGAATTGGCTCGGTATAAATTAAATTGAATTGAAATATTTTCAGTATACATGAACAGATATTTGTCATAGTTGACCAACTATTAAATTATATGTTGCATTTTGTGTGTCCAGCGGGCTCGTCCTAAGAGCGATCAGGAAGAGAATGAGTTGGTGATGGCCTCTTTGAGGAATCTCTATGAGGAGAGACAGAAGAGTCATCAGCACACACTGCCTGGAGACAGCAAACCGGTACTTTCACCTCCTAAACACACATATGCACCACTCTACCAGCACTCTTTTTTATTATTATTATTATTATTATTCTCTACAGATAAGTTCTATGTTTTTCCATAGTGTCAACTGTTCTTCAAACAGTTCTATAATAAGATAGTACACCAAAGAAAGACAACTGGGGAAAAAAATCCCCCTCACTTATACAGAAATAGCTGTCACACTGTCTTTGAGGACCTCCTTCCCTTTCACTGACCGTTGGTTTCTATCTCTTCATTTATTTTTTTTATCCATGTGTATGTAGGTGTCTGAGGATGCAGCTCCAGCACCCGTGGAGGCGCAGCAGCAGAGCAGCAGTCGGCAGCGACTGGAGCAGTTCAAGAGCCGAGCCAAACGCTCTCTCACTGAGTCCCTGGAGGGCATATGGAAGGTAACAATACTTTTTCTGTCTTGGTTTGTATGGAGTTATGCACAAGTATGCACTTGTCTATGGTTCAATGCAAAAGATGGCAAATTATAGCCAAACATGATGTATGATGTAAAAAGAAGTAAATACAATCCTGATGCAAACAGACATTAAAAATGAGCCTTCCCTCAAATTTGTGGACATCATGAATTAAAGTTATATTTATATGTATATATATGTGAAAACAGTTACTGTGCATTGTAAAAAGAAAAGAAAAATATTGGCCTAATTAATGACAAATATCCCGAGTAGTAATAGTTGGGAGGGGGTGGCGGGTGACTATTCGTTCCGCCGGGGTCGGGGGGGAAGATTCCGATTCCAGCACAGCGAACGAATAGTCAGCTATTCAGCTATTTGTGTCCAGCCCTATTATTAATCCTTACATTTAGTGCATAGAAATGGAGAAATTGCTCAGTAAAGTAGTGTCTTGGTTTGTGAGTTTAGGTTACATGTAATTGCCTAACCTTGACGTGTGTGTTCTTGACAGGGAAGCAGCAAGGCCAGAACTCAGAGGGACAACAGTGAAGGAAGTGATAGTGGCTCGTCTGTTTGTACTGTCAACAGCAGCCAGGACCAGCCCTGCATAGATGACCCTTTGTCTGCCTCTTCTCATGTACGACCCACCAGCCCACTCAGGTAAGTACACCTAAACACACATGCCCACCCACTGACTCATATCTAGGGTCAGAGCAGTCAGTGTTTTAAAGGTCAGAGCAGTTATACTTGTTTTACCTCGATTTTAGGATTTCTTCTAGTCACAGGCAAGGTTGGATTCAGCCTGATTAACTAATTAGTTAATCAATTAGGGTGTTGTGGAATGTAGGCCTATCATCTGCAGGGTTTGGTGTAAGGGTCTGGTGCTGTGAAAACCAGCTGGCAGGCAAATGTTATTCCTTCAGCATTTTGATACCTGTTCACTTTTTAGTGGTGCATTGGAGTTTATGCTTAAAATTATGTCCAACTTTCTTAGATTTTTTTGTAAGCCTACCTACTGCATATTGTAAACATGTTTTTTTTTGTGTAAAACTGCAATGGACTGTTATTCAATACAAAATATCGTTTTCATGCCATGTATTTCTCCTCACTGTCTCTCCTTGTTATACCTTCAGATGCCACAACTCAACAGGCGACCTCAAGCACCTTGACACCTCTCTTTCCCTGTCACCATCCTCCTCCTCTTTACCCCGTGATTCTCAGCCACAGGGCTTCCGCCGGCGGGCCAGCACCTTCAGCCACCCCCCCACCCCCTCCTCAGTACTCGAGTACTCTCCGGTGCAGATATTAATTCACAAGCCACAGGAGCCTTCTGCAGCTAACAAGCCCAAGCTCGTACGACACTACTCCGTCAGCACAGACTCCCCACACCAGAGCAAGTGAGGAAAGTGTGTGTGTGTGTGTGTGTGTGTGTGTGCGCGCGCGTTTGTGTGTGAATTTGTACAGACAGACAAGTTCTTCACAGTTTGTCACATATTAATGTCATACAGACACAGAGAGTGTGGCTGTCAGGGCCTCTGTGGTACAGAAAAAAATGTCTCATGTGTAAAGGAACCCCTCAGCTCACTGTTCCGTGACATTAGAGAGGAATAGTTGCTGTCGTTTTTTTAATAGCCAATAGACTTAACAGTAGTCATTTTCACCCCTTGCTGTGTGACAACTAGTATTGTCTCATTGTGTCTACAACTAAGGATTCACCCAGATTTACATCACAGGGATTCAGTAATGAAGCCATCTAGTATGCATTGGTCTGTTTAGTCCAGGGGTTGGCAAAGAGCCATTTGGACCAGTTTCCCACGCAAAAGAGAACACCAGGAGCCACAAAACCCCTTTGACATCTAAAGTGAAGATCGCACTGCATATATCGTTTTTACCTTTATGCTATGTATAAAAAAACTATAGTGTGTTGCATTTATGAAATCAATAAACTGCTACAGACAAAACGAAATTTTACAAGTAAAAATGACGTCTGGTTGTCCTGCTGACTGCAGCTGGGACTGCTGACCGCCTGTGAGTGCTTTGGGATGGGGAGGAGCTCACAGCAGCAACCGCTGCTCGCTGAGGACAGTAACTGCAGAACAATACATGTTGTCACGTCAGAGTCTCCAAAACACCATAAAAGTCTCCAGTAACACCAGAAAGAGTCGCTAGATTTGTTGCAAGTCGCTTTTGTGAAAAAAAATGTTGCCAAGAGGATTTGGAAAGTTGCCAGATTTAGCGAGAAAGTCACCAAGTTGGCAACACTGTGCGTGCTGGTGGGTGTTTTGAGCGACAAAAAAAATTAAACATGTTTTGTTTTAATGTTACAAGTTCACAAAATCTTCAAATTTAGAAATACATTTTAAAAACTGATGAGCTGAAATAAAATACATTTAAATTACAATACTCATTTATTTTGCAAAGCCGCAAGGAGCCGCAGCAGAGGTATGAAAGAGCTGCATGCAGCTCCGGAGCCGCGGGTTGCCGACACCTGGTTTAGTCTGATTCATTTAAAAGAAAGACAAAAAGCAATGAAACTGATTTGGAATTGGCAGTATGTATTGTAGTTATTTTTTATGCGTTTCTGTGTAATGCTGTTGTAATGTATCTCATAGTGCGCTTGCATACCTGAGTGTATGACAACCAGGAATTGTGATAGCAGTCTGCTGTGCTGTCAAACACGTTTAGTGGAGTGTGCCAGATATAAGTTTTCTGTATTACAGATGTATCAGTGTCAAAAAGGAAACATCCATCCATCCATTATCTACACACCGCTTAATCCTCACTAGGGTCGCGGGGGGGCTGGAGTCTATCCCAGCTGACTTCGGGCTAAAGCAGGGGACACCCTGGACAGGTCGCCCGTCTGTCACAGGGCTACACTTAAAGACAGACAGAGTTGTCAGAAAAGGGATGTTTCATACTGTCCTTGTGCATCAGCTTTAGCTCCTCTTCCTCCATCCTGCTGCAAGCTCTTCCTCTCTTTTCTGTTCCTAAAATCTGCATAATATTCTTGTTGTCATGAAGGAAAACTCATTTAATTAGCTGAGATAAAGTGCAGGTAGACCGATCTAATAAGTTTGAATACATCATTCATTTTGCTCACATACAACAGTAAAATAGATTAAAGCTAAGATAATATTCTTTAATTTCATACAGATATCGTCTTTAAAATCAGATGGTACAGCTGAGAAGATAATACGTAACCACAACTATGATACCTAACCACGTACACTGCATTTCTGCTGTTTCTCTTCACCCTTTATCTTTGTTTCCATACATCACTCAGTGTCTGTGGCAATCTTTTCTTTTCTCATTCTCACTGTATTTGCACTCAGAAATGTATCAACCGACTCAAGCCTTCCTCCTGTTCCTCCCTGCCCTTCCTCACACTCTCCTGTCCTCCTCCATCCTCCTTCCTCACCTTCTACTGGAGCCCGGCTCAATAGAAGAAGGTGAGAATTTAGTTCAACTCATGCAATATCTATTTTCTCTGTCTTAAGTGCTTTTATATAAACTTCTCATATCTTCTTTTGATCTCATTTTCCATGTTATTATGTCAAGTACCCATTCAGACAGAGAAGCACTTCACATGTCACTCATTGGTTGCTAGTTTGAAAGGTGATTCACGCTCTTCAAAGATGGAGCTATTTTCAACTTTTTCCACCTCAGCCAGCAAGGCATTCACATCTTTTAAACAGCATCAGTGAAATTCAAAACATTTCTTCCAAGCAACATGTCTCTGTGTGAATGGGGCCCATGTTTCTTTGTTCATCTGTTTTTGCCTCCTTTTATCACCTCCATATCAGTCCTCTGGGTGGTCTACGTGCTCGTCTCCACTCCTCCTCCTCTGTCCCTAATTTTCTGAAATTTCAATTTCTGGCCCCTGTCCAAGAGAATGAATATGCTGAACCAAAGAACAGGTATACACATATACACCAAGTGATCATGTCTTTGCTGCGTGTGCAGCATAGCAGTAGTCTGTCTTATTTTTTCATAGATTCTTGTCGCTATGTATATCAGTGTGTATGTAAACAGTATAGTCATGGCCTGCATATTGACCTTTAACTACATCTGTGCGTGTGTGTGTGTGTTCTCAGTGATGTAGCAGCTCTCTCTACACCAAATGCAGCATGCGAAGTGGGAGAAAGCCCTCTGCGCAGCCATCGCCACTCATGGAGGCAGCAGATCTTCCTACGGGTTGCTACTCCTCAGAAGGGCACAGACAGTAATGGTAAGAATACACAGACACAGAAACTCATCCTGTATAAATCAATATGTGGTTCACTTTTTGGAAACTCAGTGACCATTAAGTAGCAAGACAATGACATGAGCATCGTCTGCCAGCGTTTAATTACATTGTCAGTCATAGAGACAATTAGGGCCGCGCAGTATAGTTGAAATGCATTACAGCTAAATGTCTCATATCAGTCTACATTGATGTCTTACCTTGATACACAAAAGACATAAACAGTACAGAAAACAAGTACATCAAACTGAAATCAATAGGAACTTCAATGTGATGCAACAGCTAAACAAACTTCGTTGACTTCAAGAGGCCCAAGGAGCCTTGGAATACTTGCATGAAGAGCAATGAGGAGAACAACAGAGGTTTCAACAGGTTCTATTATCGAGGGAATGATAGGCTGCTTATGAGCCATGGAGGAAACATGCTTTGGTTGTGTCCATGCATCCAGAGTTTGCGTTTGTTATTTGCTTTCATATTTTGCATATAATGCATTTAAGCAAAGCCGTCATTCTATTGAGTGAGTTTGTAATTGGTCATGATGTGGTATCTATCGTCTCTATATATTGCTATCGTTATATCTCTCAGCCCTACAGACAACATAATTAGGCAGTCAAATTGATCCAATCTAAAATGGTGAAGAATCTCGTAACTTGTTAAATTTAGTTCAAAAAATATGGAGAAAATGAAACATTGATTCATGTTAAGGAACAATAAGGCTGATTTCTGCCTGCCAAGCTGAAAAAAAAACAAAAAACACACACACATTATATTGATAATTACTGATAACTTTTACTGGCACCCACACAGACACACTGCATTAAAGAGCATGAGTAAGACCTGTCACATTTGTTTCTTTATGTGTGCTATTGTGAAAAACGGCAGAGCTCTGCACATGCAGTCTACAGTGCAGTGACGAAGCTTTTCCGCTCTGTGTCACTCTTTCATTTAATGTGTGTTTACAAAAGAGGAATGAGTGAAAATAGATCACTTTATCAAAGCTCTTTGTCTCTCCAGTAAGAACTTGAATTTGTTCACATCACATCCCTCCGGGCAGTCTGTCTTTCTTCACAGTGTTTCAGGTGATCTTGTATACAGTAATAATCATGTCCGTTCTCGTATTTGTGGTTCATGTGTGTATGTCAGCGTGTGCAGATGCAGAATCATGCTTGTACTTGCATTTGTGCAGATCCCATGTTTTGATAATTATAAGTGTCGTGTGTATAACAGAATAAGTGTTGACAGTTGAGATAGCTGGGTTGGTCATACTGTAACACCTGTAAGTTCCCAGCAGAATGATCATCCACATACAAAGAAAGAGATGTATTTTCTAGATTTAACTTTACCATACCAGTGTTTGTATTTTACTAGAAAAAACAAAAAGAACAAGATGTACTTTTGCAAGATCTCACAAAAAGTACAGTGTTCAGCTCATTTGTGGTGAACTGCCCCTCACTTGGAAAGCAGACAAAAGCAGGCGGCAGCTGCAGGGGGCTGCAACTAAAAGTGCAATCAAGTGAGACAGTTTCCAGAGGCTTCAGTCTGTACAGGTGGTGACAGAAAGACTCACATCCTGTTAGATCTGATTTCCATTTAAAATATTATCAGACCCATATGTCAGTTTTTACACAGCCTCTAATTTCTTAATTTCTGACATAATTAAAAGGCTAAACGGGCAATTTGTGACCGCTGTTTATGGTTCAACCTCCACTTCACAGGAACTCTCATGTAAATCACCATCATATCAGTTAGAAATCAGTTGAGCCAACCTGTCCCTCTGAAACTAATAAATAAATCAGAACTCAGCCTGTGATATATTGTGTAGTACATTGTGTGGTTTGTTCTGTTCTGGATTGCACGTTGTGTGATTGATGCTGATGTTTGTTGTCAGACAGGCTGAATACATTCATATTACAGATCATAAACCATTTACAGTTTATCACAGTTTCAGTTTATTCTATATGAACATTGGACTGATTTAATTATTGCAGTATTAAGCAGAAGCATTAAGCATGAAAAGGATGAGAGGATTCTCATCTGTATAGATGTAAAGCTCAGACAGTCTAAATATCTGACATCTCTGTAATGAAAGCTATTGTCTTTTTTTTGTGTTCCCTCTGTATATGCTACTATTTTTAATGTATTGATGTGGTTTTATGTGTGGTCAGCTGATTTGTATATTGCAAAACATTACCTTTTTTCCCCCCCACCCATTGTTTTTTTCCCTAACTCCTCCATTTCTCTTCTGGAACTCTATAATATAATTTGTTGGAGCATGTGCCTTTTATTTGTAAGCATTTAATTCAACCTAAACATCTAATTATACAAAAAAGAGAAAAGCTTCCAAGCCTCGCTTTGAACAAACTGTGTTTTTGCTTGATATATGATGTCGATTACCAATTTTTAAGAAATAATCTGACTAATGTTTGTCAATTAATCCATTCATTGACTTATTGTTTCAGAGATTGTGATTGAGAAGGACCACTTTCACCATTAATTGTCAGTCATGTTAAATGTGGAAGCCTTTAAAGGAGGTTGTTTTAATGAAGACTGTACAAATTACTGATGTAGTACTGATTGTGTAGACATTTTCTGAAACCTTGTAGACGCTTTATTTAAAATTTATAAAATTGTGTGCCAAGAGTTACGCAGCATCTGTTTCTCGCTTTGAGTCAATAACATTAGCAGGAGTGAACAAAATAAAAGGAGCAATATATTGTAGTTGAACAGGCCTGCAATAAGAGCAACTTTTATAAGTCCTCTAAGGTCAATACTACTTTCTTGGGGACTGTGTCAGAGTATTGATTACTTGTCATTACAGATATAAACCATGAAGAGTCTTTGCAGTGTCAGCAAGAGCAGACCACTTTTCTGCTGTTTCCTTTTTTAAGATGCCCTGTGTTGTAATGATTTTTGAGTATTTTTGCTTATTGTCACCTAAATATTTTGGAAATGTTGCCAGTGATGCAGCACTTTCAGGCCTTTCTGTGTTTCTGTAAATTGCCTAAAGTCTAAAAATCGTCACTTTGTTTGACACAGCATGAAATGTGCTGCTGTGTGGAAGATCAACAGAAATATAGCATAATACATATATAAAATATAGGCAATGCTGCCTGGAATTCACACATTTTCATGTGTCATTTTCAGTACTGTTGCTTGAGTCGACAAGTGAAGATACATTTGTGTGGACAAGTCTGGTCCAAATAAAAAGTCTTCCCCACAAAAAATATACTTTTTGAAAGTGTTACTTGGCATTGATCCTGAAACTTAACAATGGCACATAATGTCAAGTAGTGGTGGATCCACCTGCGGTAATGTAAGCTAAAATCCAAAAATGGGATTGGCTGTTTTGGTAAATCCCCATCATGTCAGTGTCATTTGGACTTTCAAGCTGTCTGGAATTGGTCATTTGTATTTACCCTTCTTGTGTATCTGCCATTGCAGAGGTGATTTGGTCCAGAAGATTGAGTGAAATAACAAAATAAGACAAACTATTAGCGTACAACATAGGCCAACCACATTTCTAAATGCTGAGAGAGACTTAGAATAACAGGTCATTTGTCATATGAGCTGCTGTGTGCAGAAAGCCTGATGTTTGCCACAGTGTTCTTTTTTGATACTACCACTGGGGGATGCCAAAGTTTCTCATTTCCGAATCCTACACGTATCGACATTCCTAGTGCATTACAGCAACACAGATTTACATATAGTTAAATTAGTATTTCCCTGAAACAGTCTTGGCAGCATTTTAACTGTCACAAAGGTGCAGGAGCAATTAGCATCATAAAGTGTTCCGATTATTTTGCTAACTCCTGCACACACCCCTGTGGATTCTGCTCAGGGGTGGATATTGCATCTCATAAATGCATTGTGGAATGCAGGACTGTGTGTGACCCTTATATCCACTTTCCCACTGAATGTGTTGCTCATGAGGGATTAGTGAGGTTTAGGCCTGTCTTTGTGCTTTAAGTTCCCCTTTCAAATGAAACATGTAATAAATCTGTCTTCAGCATCGATGAAATTTGCACCCAAAGTTTGGTTTGATAGACAAGTGTGGGAAAAGCTGTGCTCTTAGCTGAATGCAGCGCTGAGGTGGGTTGAGTTGGGTGATTGTGTCCGTGTGCGTCCGTGTGCGTGCGTGTGCATGTGTGTGCACGTGCGTTCGCGTTCTTCCATGCATGATGTCGTGTGTGTGTGTGTGTGTGTGTGTGTGTGTGTGTGTGTGTGTGTGTGTGTGTGTGTGTGTGTGTGTGTGTGTGTGTGTGTGTGTGCGCGCGGTTCAGGGGGTGGTGGTGTCTCAAGGTCATGTTGACAGTCCACACACAGACAGCGCCAGAGAAAAGCGTCAGCCTTGTTGACCCACTTTGCTTTTTGTGAGTGTGTGTGTTTGTGGTGTGACCTGGTTCTTTCCAAGTTGTTTGCTCAGGGAGTGGATCGTGCCACTTTGTGCAAGAGTGTGTGTGTGTATGATAGTTTTTGTGTTATGATTAGGCAAATATGGTGCTGTAGCTGTTAAGGTTAAGTCAGGATAAGAGGCTGGGGAATTAATATTGTCAATGGAGAGTCCTCTCAAGGGTCACAGGATTTTGTGTGCATTTGTTTTGTACGTGTGTTTGCAATTTCACACCAGAAAGTTAAGTCCTCACCAGCGTTCTGTTGAAACAGTGTAGCCGTCTCTGTTTGTCTACCAAATACACAACTCTCTTAACAGAGTTCAGTGTGTGTGTGTGCGCGTGTGTGCGTGCGTGCGTGCGTGCGTGCGTGTCACCCCAGTCTGCCTTGTCTTCACTTCGCTTATAACTGACGAGCCATAAGTTTGTACAGTGACTCTGCTGGTTTCAGCATGTCTTGGAAACTCTCTGACACATACACAAAGGCACACAGTCCATAAATGTTCACCTCATCTGGCACAAAGAACACTATTGTCACTGTATATACGTGTGTAGTGAAGTACATTATGTCAGTTTGTTTTTGAAGTGTTGAAAAGATGACTTTATCTGACATATTTTTAATTTTCCTCAGAAGACTCTTTAGACAGATAAGCATCAAATTTACATACCTAAGCAGAGCTAAGGTATGTTTGTGCGTTTGTGTACGCAGTATCAAACTCAGTCGTGATGTTCCTGCGAACTGAAAGCGAAGCAAGTGCTATCTGGATAGTTGGTATGTCCTTCCTTTAAACAACACAGGGTATTTTGAGGTTTGGGATCCACCCTGTACTTTGGGGTGGAGTCACACAAACACTTTTTTTTTTTACTGCGTTGCACCCAACTGTGTCAAATATATCTATGTTTAGCATTTTCTTTTTATTTTGCATGACTGTGAGATTGACAGGGAGAGAAAGGAGTCCAGGCAGCTGCTTTTCAGTTCATACCTACAAACAAGTGTTGATCAAACCCAAATGGAAGACTCAAAGAATGTCATGTAGGGTTCTTTAGAATTAATTTTAATTCTCACAACACTCTCTCCTTCCTTTTTCACCTTGGCAATAGTGAAAGAATTAGAACACATACCTCTTAAAAAACCAAAACAACTCAGAGCTTGAATCTAGATAGAAGTCCTCTTTGATACTGAGACATAGATTAATCTGTTAGTCAACAGAAAATAATAGAAAATTATAAATATGCTGCAGATGGATGGTATAATTATTGAATAATTCTTAAACAACATACTGAGTTATATAGAAGTTTTTTTTTTTTTTTACTGTTCAATAGTCAGTCAAAAAAAGCTGATTATTGTCACTGATTAAATGAAATTATTAAATAATTTGTTTTACTGTTTGCATTTTTGTGTTTTATATCAGATACATCTTATATTTAGCGTTCTAGTCTAATGTCGCAATCTGCCTTTCAGAGCGAGTGGATCCCTGTCTAGAGGGGGGTCGGATGTGTGTTGGCCAGGCTGTGGGTGGAGGAGGTGGGGACTCATCCATGAGAGCGGTGCCTGAGGAAAGGACGAAGAGGAGCAAAGAGGAGCTGAGGGAACTGTGGAGAAAGGCCATCCTGCAGCAGATCCTGCTGCAAAGAATGGAGAGGGAGAACCAGAAGCTACAAGGTGAACTGGTTTTGTGCACATATCCTCAATAATACATTAAACTGTGAAGTAGAAATAAGCTTCACTACAATGAGCAATATAATTTGATATTCAAAACTGCATTAACACAAATACTACAGTGTGCAGCGCTACAGTGATCCATACATGCAACGGACAATGTGTCAGTTCAAATTGAATTAAAATATGTTCTGCTTTCTGAAAATATCAACCAAAGCTAAATGCCTAAAATTAGATGCACACCGAACAGTTTCACTTGAAAGAAGTACATACTATTGCATTGTGTGTTCCTTACTATCACAGACATTACTGAACCACAACACGTTTTACTGCAGCCAGATTTTGTAAAGTTAAATTCGTTGTCTGTCAGCATGATAACAAGCAGCCAGCGTTGTTTCATTTAGAAGTGTTATCAGTCACTTGTTAACTCTGTTGAATTACATGATGAGTTGGTTTCTCTGGCAACTTGCCTGTCCAGATGTGCACTGAACTACTTAATCAAGTGCACACCTGCTTTTTCACTCTTCAGAAATTTCAACCCACCACAAATTAACTGGTTGTATAATATATTTTTGTATGTATGTGCGTGTGCGTGCCTGTGTTTGTTGGTGGGTACATCTAAGGGCGTGCCAAGTGCACCACCCCTTTCCTGACCGACTTGGCTCGTACCTACACACACCTAGCTATGCGTCACAAACTATTAAGTCAAACACACCCAACACTTCAGCCATCACACAGGTAGAGATGATTGCCTACACAGCAGGGTGTGGATGGACAGAATGTGGGTCAGGGATGATGTTGGAAAATCAAGTCAGGGCAGCAGCACACAGACACACTCTGTGTGACCGCACTATACACACCAGTATTTTTCATCTGCAGCATGTGGCAGCTCTCTTAGGCGTCTATAGTTTAATTGTGTTTTATTCCTCCCACAGGGTGCGCTCCACCTTTCTGTCCGTTATTTGTCTGGGTGGAGCTCAACTCCCTGTCCTCTATTCTATCTGTTTATCTCTCTCACTGCTGCCTGGTTTGTGGGTCAACTATGAAAGTGTGTGTGTATTTTGTCAGCTCCAGGGTGGGGATTCCTATCCTGTTGTGTGTTATCAAGGGTGGAGTGTTCCGGCAACAGAGAATGGGAGCGAAATAAGGAATGGGAGGCAAAGAGAGATTGGAGAGACTTGAGCGCTAACTGGGCTGCTGCCAATGAGTGCGTCCTGATAGACTGACTAGACTGTGCATGCTCCAGACAGATGATAAGACAGACAGCGCAGCCACGGCTTCACCGAAAGCAACTATTCTTACCCTGGGTGTGTCAACCATCTGCTCCATCCAAGTTTTTTTCCTTTATTATCCAGACTACGCCTTCCAGGTCACTCCTGCCACTTTTCTGCCTTTGGTTGCTTAGGCCATAATATACAGCATTTCATAAGAAGTGCTCTGATCTCTTCAGATGCTCTTAGTTTATCTTGTGTTGTTCTAAATGTGTTTATTCTGTGAGTTCTGTGCAAAACAGCACCGAATTGTGACATCAATTTTTTATAAAAACTGTGGTGCTATTGTACTAACTTTTTGCTGAATTTAACTGATGCAAGAACATTCGTTCAGCCTAATTACCCCTGTTGGCTATAAACCCATTTCCTGGAAGGTATCAGTGCCGGTGGGAACGGGATGTGACCTGCTGTCTCCGTCCCGTCCAGTAGTGATGATATCACTCTCCTGAGCACAGCCAAGTTGCAGCTGGTCACTGGGTGGACACCACACATGAGCGGAAAGGGTGGGGGAGCCCACATGGGGAGGGAGAGTGTGGTTGACGGACAAGACAAATGTGGGATTGATTGAGAGGAAAGTTGAGAATTGGCGGAGAAGCGAAAGAGAAGAAGAGTAGAGTTGTGGGTTAAGTGATTAGTGGAGGGAGAGAGGAAGGGTGTTGTCAAAAAGAGAGGAACAGATGAGGGGTGCTGGGTGTGCCCTCACCTTCTTTGATCACTGGCGTCAACATGTTGCAACGGATTCACAGTTTGTTTTTCTGTTTGTTTAGTAGGGTGTATTAATCTGAAAGTCCAGAAGCAGGGTTTCCCATGTGCATTCAATTGTCAAAAAAACACATCATCGTTGTGGTATAGTTGTGACAATCCGGAATTATTGAAAATTGACGTCTTAGTGTTCCCAACACTTTGTGTTCCAGACACGATGATGTCTTAATTCTATTGATAAAAAAGGTATTCTCTGCGTGGGTGTCATAAACAGCCTTCCTAATTACAGTATTAAGCTGGCATGCTACATGGCATATAGGTAGACACTGTATTCTAGTTGAGTGATGCAGTTAGAATTTAACCCTCCTATTATCTTTGGGGTCAATTTGACCCCATTCAATGTTTACCATCTCTAAATAAGTCATTGACATAATTTTGTCAGTTTTATTTAAAGGGCTATTTACACATAAACTTGGATAACAATTTTAATTATGATATTTTCTGGAGCTTTAAATTGCTGGGGTCAAACTGAACCCAAGGATAGAAGATGTCAGTAAATTTGAAGGAACTAGGAGGGTTAAAGCACAGGTTGTGGTGGACGGTCAGACAGATGTAAAGCTGTAGCATGTGTTCCTTTTTAAAATAACTTTGACATTTAAGCAACTGTAATTCATAGTAACAACAGAGTATTGTCTATATGTGTGTGTGTGTGTGTGTGTGTGTGTGTGTGTGTGTGTGTG